CACCCACTGGCCTGTGATCTTCCTGCATTCAGTGTCATTGCATGTGCTGCGTGAGTCTAAACAGGGACTTATGGACTAGTATCGGACTTATGGGCTAATATCGGACTCATAGACTTGATCTGGACTGGGCTTGGACGTTTTCTTAACATACAATTTCTCTTTGATATTAAGCTCTTTCTTATACATACATACATGTCTCCCTGGATTTCTTTCTCTAGTCCACCCTGACTAACACAGAGGACAAGGGAGCCAGCGAGAGAGGGCCTTGAAACAGCTTCTCACAAGCCCTGCAGGGCCCCTCGACATTCTGCTGAGACTCAGAGAGGCCTCATGGCCCTCACAGGGCCTGTGAGCTGAAGCGTAGGCAGCCCACGGGCCACAGTGGCAGAAGGCGCTAAAGTGCTCTGGCCACAGGTGACCCTGCTTCAACCATGCCCTCTCCCTCCAGGTCCACATTCTTCAGAGGGAAGCCATGGGTCCTTGAGGCAGGTGCTTGGGAGCCATGGCCAGGGACAGGACCGCCATCAGCAGACGTGGCCTCTGGGCCCACTCCCTGGTGTCCAGCAGCACATCCAAGGGGGCCCCTCTCTCACTTTCCTTTGCAATCCTGCCATTTCCGGGCCTTTTTCCTCATCTACCATAGAGGGGAACCCAGAGAGACCTTTGGGGACAGAGCCCCCTACTCTTCTCCCCTGGGGCCCAGGACCCAGTCCTGCGTCATTAGCGCCTCGTGTGGGGTCAATGGCCAGGTGGTCTGTGACTCTTCAGTACAGACCATGTGGACAGGGGGTGGAATCGAGGTCTGGTCCCCCAGAAGTTGGCCCTCAGGTTAGCTGGGGGCCCCGTGGTGTTTCACACCAAAGGGCCTCTCTCAAGAAACTCACTCATTCCGTTCCAACCTTTTCTCTGACTCTGAGCTCTCTGAATTCTTGTGAGCCAGACAAGAACCGAGAGAGGAGAGGCCCTGAACCAGGAGCGGCCTCCCAGGAATGCCATGTGGAAGGAAAAGTCTTGGGTGGGAATGTTCCGCTGTCGGAAGCAGCAGTGCAGATGACACGGTTGGACCTGGAGAGCTTGCTTGGAGGTTCTAGCAGGGGAGCATGTGAGTCCTGGGGTGCAGTGGTTACGCATTGGGCTGGGATCCGCATGGTCCACTGTTCAAAGCCACCATCCACTCCTCGGGAGAAAGGCCGGGCACTCTGCTCCTGTACAGAGTTACAGTCCTGGAGGCCCGCAGGGCCTCTCTGCCCTGTCCTGCAGCAGGGTCGCTAGGAGTCCGAATCGCCTCGATGGCAGTGCGTTTGGCTTGGTTTGAAGTAGGGGAGCGCAGCTGCTCCGATACCCTTGACCAAAGGGGGACCCCTTCTATGGGGGAAGGTCATCCTCTTCGAGGAAACTTGCAGCTTCCGGAGGGAGGGAAGCACATGGAGCGCTGAGGGAGGAAAGGGACCCCTACCTTGGCAGTCAAATCAGCCAAGTCAAACCCGGCTATCAGTAGGGTGACAGGTGTTGCATCTGAGAGAACATGGTGGCTATTTGGGACCAAGAAAGGCTCAGCCTGACCACCCACTGTGGCCAGTCACCAAGGGCCAGGCCCGCCAATGCTGGCCAGGAGGTGATCCGGTATGGCGGATGGGCTGGGGGCTGGGGTCGGACAGCATTTAAAGGCTCCCCAGCGAGGGAGGTGCTCCCCCGTTGCTGGAGGCAGGCCTGTGGGCATGGGCCCCTGCGGGCAGCCCTACCGCTTGGTGGGCTGAGGGAGCGGGAGGGGGAGCGGACCAGGCCTGCTGGGTGGGGGCAGCACCATGGGCAGGGAGTCGGTGCCCCGCTCATGCCAGCACGTGTCGAAGATGGGAAGAGCTTGCCCTGGAAGTCAGCCCGGAGCGTGTAGGGCACCCGCAAGTCATCGCACCGGTCGGCATCGGAGAAGGTGAGCTCCCCTGCTCGTGGTGCAGGTAGACCCCGATGCGGTGGGGGTGGCCCGCCACGGGCAGGGGCAGGGGCACCCGCGGGCAGCCGAAGGCCTCGTACACCCGGCCCTCCTTCAGGCCGATCAGCCACACGCCGTGCTCGGGGGACCTGCTCAGCTTGCCCTTGCGACTGGCTGTGCCCTTGATGACCCCCAGACGCCAGTGACTCTTGCTGCCCACCACCACCTCCCAGTAGTGGCGGCCGCAGGAGAAGCCCCGGCTGGCCAGGACACATGTGCTGTAGTCGAAGCGCTCGGGCTGGCTGGCTCGAGGCTGAGGCAGGAGCCCGCACTGAACGACCGTGTTGCCCTTGGACAGCTCCAGGAGTGGGTGGGCTGTGGCCGGGTCCAGCTTGAGAGGCTCCGGGGCTGGGGAGAGAGACGAGGGGCAGGCTGTGGAGGCCGTGCAGAAGGCAGCAGACCCTGGAAAAGAGGCGTTCTGCCTGGCTCCTTTGGGTCCCCTGAGCTTAGGAGGCCCGGTGGCGTTGTGGGTTACCCAGTGGGCTGTTCCTCGCAGGCTGAAAGTTCAAAGCCACCAGCTGCCCCTCGGGAGAAAGATGAGGCAGCACTCTACTCCCATTTAGTTAGCCTCAGAAATGCACGGAGGCAGTTCTGCCCTGTCCTGTGAGTCAGGATCACCTCCGTGGTTTGTTTGGTCTTGGGCTTAGGAGGAGCTGGCTGCTGGCGGAATGAACCATGTCAAGGGATTCCGGCAAACACTGCAGCCTGCCACCAACACGCCCCTGCTCAACTCTCAAGGTCTTCTGGGGGAACTCATCAGCAACCGCCCTTGGTCCCCTGGTGCCCTTGGCAGCCACTTGAAGGACACACCCCACAGCTGACCTACTTGCTCAAACTCAGCTGCAACCCCCCTGCCAACCTGTCTCAGAGCAACCCTCCCAGACACCACCTGGGGACTGATGTGGATGAAGCCCCTCCTCCAGGTCCAGGATGTCTGTGAAGCCTGGCACCAGACCATGCAACTCTTAGAGGAGTGGTTCTTGACCCTC